TTAATACCATATTATTTTTATATTTTATTTGTTTGTATATTCTTTTTTTAAAGTTTATATTTCTATATTTTATTATTATACATGTTTACAATATATTTACATGTCTTTTAGCTAATGACATATTATTATTTTTCAATAAGTTATACTGTTACACAGTTAAATAGTATTTGAGGTTGAATAAAGATACAGGTCCATCAAGTCCAACCTATTGCGTGTATGCATGTGATTCTACATGTGTATGAGTCCATGTGTGATCTTGTTCTTAAGTGTACCTGTATGTTATGGTCTGTGAGGAAATTGTTCCAAACGCTTTTTGAATGATTCCACACTCTCAGCTGAAATCACTGCTTGCGGCAGCGAGTTCCAGACCCTAACCGCTCTTACTGAGAAGAATCCCCTACGCCCCTTGTGCCGAAATCTTTTCTCCACCAATTTTCGATGGTGGCCTCTAGTCCTTGTTATGGAGTTTACCGTAAAAAGTTTATTGCTGATGTTGCTATCACCATTCACCATCTTGTACATCAGAATCATATCCCCCCTTTATCTCCTCACTTCCAGCGTGAACATAATTACATTTAGTAGCCTTGTCTCATAGCTTTGGTCTTCCATCCCCTGTTATACGTTTACAAATAGGGATGTTCAGATACCAGTGCTGATACTTGGCATTTTCATGAGAACTACCAGGGTTGCAGCGGTTGGAGCTATGACTGGGACCTGGCTCTGGCGCTCCACCACTGTCCTGAAATCATTACTCTGTATTGTTTTAGAAAAACTGTCACATGACACTAAACAAAAATGTATCAGTACTTGTATCTGTGAGGACTTGGGCAAGTATCAGTACTTGTACTTGGTCTGGTTTGTACCTGGTCTAGTCTTGGAGCTGGAACATTGTCAGTACTTGTTCTTGTACCAAGTACGATTCTTGGTATCTGGACATCCCTATTTACAATATATTTACATGTCTTTAGTTAATAACATATTACAGTAAACTCTCTGTTATCTGGTATTCAGCTAAGCGGAACTCCAATCTAATCGGCAAAACAAATAAAAAATCCCCTGTGTACTCACTGTTCAGTCAATCTGCCAGCTGCTGGGAGAGGGAGAGCGGGCTCTGGAGCATGGAAAGCTATAGGAACGGGCCCGAAAGTGCTGGATTATCCTGGGAATGAGCGTCTGAACGATCTCTGAAAAGTGTTGTATTATCCTGGAAACGGGTGTCTGATCTAAGGTTTGTGAAAGTGCTGTGTTATATAATATCCTGTAAAGAAGCCGACTAGTGATCACTCCCAGTACTGCAATGTATTGTTAAAGGAGAACTATGGGGTCAGTGCTTTTCCCCATAGTTCTCCTAAGGGTCACGGGAGGACACAAACTAGCGTCCTCCCGTGACCCCCAAAGCTCAGTATACCGCGAGCTGCAGCTCGCGGTATACCGAGACCGCAGCAGCCAGGACGGATCCCGACATTACTGTCAAGATCCACCCAGCTGTGTGATTGACAGCTGGCTGTGCCTATCTAGAGGCAATGCCAGCTGTACCCGCCCCCTCCCCATCCGTTCCGCCGGTCAGCGCTGGAGGATCGGACAGGGGAGGGAATCCCTGCAGGGAGCCGTGAGTGACAGTCACGGCTCTCTGCAGGGACAGGATCGAGAAGTGAGCGAGCGACGGTATGTGTTTGCTCACTTCCCGATCTATTGAGCCGACGTGTGACAGTTTCATTGTCACACGTCAGCTCGAAATATGAGGCTGAGTGATTTTCACTCACCTCATAGTTCTCCTTTAACGGTTTAGAGTACAATATACTGTTATGGTATGGTATAGTATGGGGAATGGCATCGGATAAACCCATTTTTAATAGTAACGCTCAAGCAACCAGAAACTACATTTATCCGGAATCTACCAATCCCTTTGGATGCTGGATAATGGGGAGTTTACTGTATTTTTTAATTTTATTTGCTTTTATATTTCTTCAGAGACTGGGCCACAGGGCAGTATTCCAACATGATAACGACCCCAAACACACCTCAAAGATGACCACTGCCTTGCTAAAGTAGCTGAGGGTAAAGCTGATGGACTGGCCAAGCATGTCTCCAGACCTAAACCCTATTGAGCATCTGTGGGGGATCCTCAAACGGAAGGTGGAGGAGCACAAGGTCTCTAACATCCACCAGCTCTGTGATGTCATCATGGAGGAGTGGAAGAGGACTCCAGTGGCAACCTGTGAAGCTCTGGTGTACTCCATGCCCAAGAGGGTTAAGGCGGTGCTGGAAAATAATGGTGGCCACACTAAATATTGACACTTTGGGCCCAATTTGGACATTTTCACTTAGGGGTGTACTCACTTTTGTTGCCAGCGGTTTAGACATTAATGGCTGTGTGTTGAGTTATTTTGAGGGGACAGCAAATGTACACTGATATACAAGCTGTACACTCACTACTTTACATTGTAGCAAAGTGTCATTTCTTCTGTGTCGTCACATGAAATGATATAATAAAATATTTACAAAAATGTGAGGGGTGTACTCACTTCTGTGAGATACAGTAAATCCTGTATAATAACAATAAAAAGAATACGCCAGCTGCACACCGTTTAGTTTATAGAACTCATGGTACCCTATGACGCAATCATCACTTATACTATATATAATGTTATAGGCAAAGACACAAATTCTATTCTCAGCAATCATATTCTGAAAGGGAGGAGGATCTGTCCGCATAAGGGAATTGTTACAGACACGGACCATACACACATAACTGGTTTTAATTTAAAGGAATTTTTTGAAAGAAATTCCGTGCTTGACATATTTGACTTTAATAGAATGTAATTGCTCTTACTAGAGATCTTCAGGTACTCACTAAAGCCCACCTGATAATGAGTTGTCAGTGACAGGCTGGGTTTATCATCATCATCGCGCCTTGTGGAATGACATACCTCGTTATCTCTGTCCTTCTCTAGGAAATGGCGAGCCACGTGACTCGGGAGGATGTTTCTGAGCATGTTTTCGTTGTGCTCCCTCAGTTCCGTCATTTCGTTGATTTCTTCTTTGGCCTGAACCCGCCACAGGAAATCCAGTCTTGCTGTGTATTCCAGCTGTAAAAAGGTGCAAGCAAAACAATATTTATAATATGCAGTTCGGAAAAGGAGGGAAAAGATGGCAAGGCGGCAGTCAATACATCGGGGTATGGCCACTACATATACAAAAGAGGAAATACCCTTTGGAAGACCTTAATATTCTACATAATGTATTGAGCAGGCACAGCCGAAACACAAGGGTCCGCTTTTCTCACAAGGAATAACAGTCCAAAATAAAGACTTCCACCAATTCAACTGGATTATAGGATCAACCCATCAATTGCTGATATAGCCATATACAGTGTAACATCATCATGTGTGGCCTGTTCGCAATTGCTCCAAACATCTCAGAAAGGCATGAATGGAGGAAGATGACTATATTGATATTAAAGGGTTATTAAACCTTCAGCATGTTTTTTCATATATCTACTGCTAGCAAACAGTAGATATATGCAAAACGATTAAAACAACTTTTTCAGAGGGTTAATACTTACCTGTGTCTACGCCACGCGCTCCCGTCCGAACATCTGAACATTTTTCGGGCGGCCCCAAAGGATCTTGGGGCAGGCACATGCACAGTTCAGATGTTCGGCCGGGAGACGAGGAGAGACACAAGGTAAGTCTATGGAGTAGTGAGCACCTGCACAGACTTTGTGGGACATCAGAGAAGAGGAGGACAGAGGAGTGCTGGAGGGACAGCTGAAAAGGACAGTTACATATTTCATTACAGCGTTTGCAGAAGCAGAGATAGGCAAAGCGATGTCAAGAGGACAATCTTGGTTAATACCTACTATTCGAAGCATGTAGCTCATGGTATATAATCACATAACTATCCTCTAGGCCAGGGTAGGCAAACTCCGGCCCTCCAGCTATGATAGCTACACATCCCATCATGCATCTGCCTCTGGGAGTCATGCCTGTGGCTGTCAGAGTCTTGCAATGCCTAATGGCATTTTGTAGTTGCAGAACAGCTGGAGGGCTGAAGTTTGCCTACACCTGCTCTAGGAAGACAAGACAACAGAACCATCACGGCTGCTGCCTGCACATTCCTTCCTGTAATGCCTTGTGACTATAACCCTGAATCGGTTGGTGCTCTAACATGAGATGGCCCCATCGGCTACAAGCAGCCAACCTTCCACTGATATTATGTCTGATAAAATTAACTGCTACAGAGAAAAACAAATCCAAATGTTGTTAAAAATATTTATGGATAATATCAATGCGTGAGGTGGGTTTTATTCACAAAGGTAGCACACCCGGGTAAGGATACTTATTTTCGAAAAAGTGACAGTTAATTTCTGATGAGATCAATAAGATTTGAAAATTATAGTCACATGACTAAAAGAAAGATATTTATCCTTAAGTTAAAGCTTTGTGAATTGAGCTTTTCGTGTTTGTTAGGTTTACAATAATGACCCACTCAGCATGAGTGATATATAATATGACTTCTTGTTTTACATGTGGGATCCTTAGGTCTCTAAACACATATGTATTGATATTACGTCTATCGAGACAGCTGGACCTCACCACCAGCCCCATGCACTGTGGATTGTGATACATGAGTTGGTCGGTGTTCATTTTTGGGATTGATGGTAAGGTCTCAGATGCCCTGGTGAGGTGTCAAAAAAAGCTCCTGAAAACAATTACTGTACATATAACTAGTACTCTGTGAAAAGATTATGCCCAACAACCAGCAACATTTGAAATGTATGAGGTTAGGAGGACACGCTATGGAGAAGAGAAAAGGGTAATAAAAAGTGAGGAAGGAAACTACAAATGCAAAGAAAATACACTACCTGGCCAAAAAAAGTCACACACTCTAATATTTTGTTGGACCGCCTTCAGCTTTGATTACAGCACATATTCGCAGTGTCATTGTTTACACAATGCCACAACATTTATTTCCATCCAGAGTTGCATTCATTTTTCACCAAGATCTTGTAGTGATGATGGGAGAGTCAGACCTCTGTGTAAAGTCTTCTCCCACACATCCCAAAAATTCTCAATGGGGTTAAGGTCTGGACTCTGTGGTGGCCAATCCATGTGTGACAATGATGTCTCATGCTCCCTGAACCACTCTTTCACAATCTGAGCCCGATGAATCCTGGCATTGTCATCTTAGAATATGCCCATTGTGCCATCAGGGAAGAAAAAATCCACTGATGGAAAAACCTGAACATTCAATTAGAGGTGCACCGAAATGGAAACTTTAAAACCGAAAAAGAAACCAAAATAAAAAAAAATATCAGGCCAAAACCGAAAATGTTTTTTATTTTTTCAATTTTTTTTATATTTTATAAACTTTTTATGAATTCATTTTTTATTAAATATTTTTATTTTCTACTTTTAGAAAATAAAACAGACCCCTGATATTTCCCTTTTAAAATAGAAAAAGAGATTGAGAACACAAAGTCCTCAATCTCTTTTTCTGTGCCCCCTGTTATTAATGAACAGGAATCCTCTATGAGTCTTCCTGTTCATTGATAACATGAGGACATTGTGTGTTTACTATACCTACAACTATAAATGAATGGGGATGATATAGATCACTCCCATTCATTCATAATTGAGGATATAGTTAACATACCATATCCTCAGTTATGTACACACACTCAGCGATCACTGATCACTGAGTGTGTGTACATTGCCCTTCTATCTGACACGCTGCCACAGGAGGCTGATCGAGCAGTGTAGGGAGAAAAGCCCAGCCGCCTGTGTAGCCCGATGAATCCTGGCATTGTCATCTTAGAATATGCCCATTGTGCCATCAGGGAAGAAAAAATCCACTGATGGAAAAACCTGAACATTCAATTAGAGGTGCACCGAAATGGAAACTTTAAAACCGAAAAAGAAACCAAAATAAAAAAAAATATCAGGCCAAAACCGAAAATGTTTTTTATTTTTTCAATTTTTTTTATATTTTATAAACTTTTTATGAATTCATTTTTTATTAAATATTTTTATTTTCTACTTTTAGAAAATAAAACAGACCCCTGATATTTCCCTTTTAAAATAGAAAAAGAGATTGAGAACACAAAGTCCTCAATCTCTTTTTCTGTGCCCCCTGTTATTAATGAACAGGAATCCTCTATGAGTCTTCCTGTTCATTGATAACATGAGGACATTGTGTGTTTACTATACCTACAACTATAAATGAATGGGGATGATATAGATCACTCCCATTCATTCATAATTGAGGATATAGTTAACATACCATATCCTCAGTTATGTACACACACTCAGCGATCACTGATCACTGAGTGTGTGTACATTGCCCTTCTATCTGACACGCTGCCACAGGAGGCTGATCGAGCAGTGTAGGGAGAAAAGCCCAGCCTCCTGTGACAGCGCTGTCTCCGCCCCCACACCGTTCTGCCGGACTGTGATAGGCGGCAGAACGGTGTGGGAGGAGACGCCGGCCGCTCACAGCCCTCTCCACCGCAGCGCTCGGCCGGCTATCACAGTTTCTCTCCTCCCGGCTGGGACATAGAGCAGCGCACAGCGGTGAGAAAATAAATCACGGATGCGCCGATGTAGCGGCAGGAAAATGGCACTTTCGGCATTATGCCAAAAGTGCCATTTTCGGCCGATATGTTTCGGTGGCCGATATGTTTCGGTGGCCGATATGTTTCGGTGGCCGATATGTTTCGGTGCATCCCTACATTCAATGTATTCAGGAAGGCAGCTGACCTAATTTTTTATGGGAAATAACGTTGCTGAACCTAGGCCTGACCATCTGATGCATCCCTAGATCATAACACTGCCTGAAATCCTGGTGGTGACTTTTTTTTTTGGCCAGGTAATGTATATTGCAAGTAGACATCATGAAAAGGCAGATTTATATACATTTTATGTCTGTTCTCCAAGCCAAGGGACACACAAAGTGCAAATTCCATTGCCAAGAAAGCTTTCAAAAAGAAAATGTATTAAGTCACCTAGTTCCTCACAACTGGATGACCCATAGTAATCACCTTGCAGTCCTAAAATCCCAATTTCCACGATCTGAGGATGCATCTGGACCACTAAACTCAAGGATGTTCACAGGGGTGGTGAAGGGAGGAAAGAAGCAGAGGGCTCTAGATTCCCCTGCTGTAGGAAACATCTCCAGTATCCCTCTAGCTGTGCTTCTTGATGCTCCCTGCTGAAGACCAGGAGCATGAACACCTAAGTGGGCATTATCTCCTTTTACGTGACTTTACATGAAATGCTCTTACAACTGAACTGTAACCAACACCAACTTTGTCAAATTTTCATTGGTCCTTCTGTAGCAATTGAACCACTTCCTTGATAGAAAGTGAGCAAAATCTCTTCATCAGGGGCACAAGATTGAATAAAATACTATTCTAATGCAGAAGCTGTTAGGGTAAGAACCTCTATCAGTATTATATTACTGTCTGTGTTCACATTGGGGACTTTTTCTAATTTCCTATGTGGTGGCCAGCACAGGAAGTGAGGTAAAATCTCCCCAACAGGGACATAGACAACACATAAAACCTGACAGAGGATGTAAACCTAGCCAAAACCAAAAATATTTTAGTTGGAGATGGATATTTAGACCCATGCAAACAACTTTTCTAGCAATATGCCAGGATAGCAGAATCTGGTATCTGATAAAAATATTGTAAAACTGGTCCATTGTCACCAACATGTGCCCAAATGTTGTATTGTGGCTGCATGTGTCTCCTGGGGGTCTGAGAGTACCTGCAGCACAAAAAAAAGGTCCCCAGCACACTATTAAACTAGCCAGGGTATCCACAGATTAACCAATCACAGCTCAATCCAGGTGGACACCAACAACACCATATAATCATCAAACAACCAAGAGGATATTCTGTCCTACAAAACTGAAACACATTTCCTCAAATATCATGAATTTTACTCATTCAGCTTGTTATCCTCGCCGGCCATTAGCTGTATTTTAAATGGTTCCTCATATCAGACAGTGTATCCTATTTAGAGACTAAACACCCAGGTCTCCTTCAGTGGAGGAATAACATTGCAGTGCCGTGCTGCCCAAT